TCCTATAATTTTACTTGGTGAAGATAATTAATATAATTAATATAATATTGAGAATTAAAGTGTTAACATTATAATTTTATCTTTAAACAAGGAAATGAGAAAGAGCAGCAAAATATAGCCTGTTTATTTATTTGTTTGCTAAATGATGTAAAGGATGTGGAAGAAAAGGACAATGTTATAGTAAATGTTTTCATTTATTGTTTAGTGTTAATTACTGGACTTATAATTTTCATTCTCTCATCACCTGCTTTCAATAGGTGATATTACAAATAAAATATATTTTTCTACTCTGATATTACTATTATATAATGAGTGTTATTATGACTACATTAATATTTTAATGATTTGCAGCCAAAAAATTATCCACTGTATCATAGTAAAATTTGTGTTACATATACTCTACCCTTAAGTGAAAGATCTGCATTTTTATAATTTTGAATGCAAGTGTTTTAATTTGGTAATGATCTACGTGCAAACTAATTGTCATTTAGGTGCTTAAAATGTATTTAAAACATGCTTAAAATCTACTTGAAGGTGCTTAAAATGTGCTTAAAACATATCTTTTTTAATAATGAACAAAATTAAGTATGTTTTAAGTAACCTTTTAAGTGTATTATAAGTGTATTTCAAGTATGCTAGTTTACCATCAAAAGTATGTTTTAAGTATATTTTAAGTGTGTTTTGAGTATAATTTCATATACTTAAAACATACTTAAACTCACTTAAATGTTCTTGTTCTCTTCCATTGGTATATTTTAAGTATATTTTAAGTATGTGATGTATATTTTAAGTTCATTTTAAGTATCTAAACTTTGTGTAGGATTTATGTGGACCAGAATGAATAGGCTAATACTAACAAATTAGATTTATTAGTGGATAATTTTGTTTTAGTGATTTGATAAAAATGATTTATTTTAATTTTGTATTTAGTTGAAACTAATCAGTGTTGTGACCAGAAACTCTTTTGGCTTCCTGAAACGTTTTGGAAAATGAACTTACACTAAGCAGAAAACTAAACCTAAACCCAAACCTAAGCATAAACTACTAACCTAAACTAGTTTCTGTTAGTTTCTGTTAGTTTCTGTTTCGGGTCTTCCCTAAACTCAGAGTTTCGGGTCACAACACTGAAACTAATTATTAACTTATTATTAAGTTAATTAGTTACAAAGTTATTCTTCGACTACAGCTAGGGATGGGAACGGTTTATGTCACGTACGGCGACGAATAAAATTTTTATAATTGATCCGTGACGATTAATTACTAAATTATAGGTGACATTTATATTGCCAAAACAAGACAAATTAATTGTCACTTATAATTTAGTAATTAATCGTCACGGATAAATTATAAAAACATTATTCGTCGCCGTACGTGACATAAACCGTCCACAGCGAATTCTTGTTCCTTATATACATGTATCCCAATTTGGGATATTTTAGCCCAGGTTGGGATATTCCTCCCGGTCTGTAATATATAGCCCAATCTGGGATAATCTTCATTAATTTCTACGTGTTACAAATTAATTAAATCAGCGGAATGTAACACGAGTTCATATAACTGATTAAGGGTAGAGGGAATCACGTGTTAATTTAATAGTAAATCCGGGGCTCAATTTTTTCAAAAATTCGAGTTTTCCCAAATTAGTAATTGTCTTAAAAGTAAAACTACGGCAAGATGCATTGAAACAACTTCAAAATTATTTATATCTAATTTTGGTGTTTCTTAACTATTTGAAAGTACTTCAAGCAAAACTTCT